AGGTTTTAGATGAACTAACGTTGGGCTATAAATGAACTCCACCACGGTCACATGACTTCCACACTGTGGCTAAACTTGTTAGCAAAAAACATTCACAGGTAATATTTACTGATTTTAAAAAATATTCTTTTAGACAACTATTCACAAACCCATTCAATTCAATGTGAGGGAACCAGAGGAGCTCAAATCAGCTGATTGATGAGCTCAGTAAACAGTTTCCTGATGAGTTTCTGGTCTCAGTCTCTAGTTTCAGTCTTTTCACTAAGGCATGATGCTCTCCCTCTCCTAGTAAGCTGATGCGCTTCCGATTTAGAGCAAAACAGACATAAAGCAGGGTATGCTTTAGGCGCTATTGTGATTGGCAGCTCATTCTCGTGAGTCGTCAGCGTCAATGCATCAACTCGCGATCAAAGCTGTAAACAGTGCTGGATGCAGATGGTATGGATCCAGATTCTGTTTTGACTGTGTGCTGGGTCCTTAAATCCTGTTTCAAAACGATTTTACTGTTTATCTTGGAACATCAGATCCTGTGTGATGCAGGTGAGCAGCCAATGAGACGCAGGCTCCACGTCCTTTACATGACCTCCGGCTGGCTCCAAGCACAACCGTTCATGGCGATGACCGTAACGGTTCTCCACAAACCAATGAGGGACGTTACAAGAGGGTCACACTTTGTTCCGGGCTGTGGCTATTTCCTGGAGAACTTCTCCATAAAGAACACTTAGGTTGACCTTTGACCTCATTGTCACTGACTGCACAATAATAACTCTGGACGGTCACATTCTGGATCAATAAAGCAATAGATCAGAGGTGTTTGCACATGTTTCCACACAGAACTGTGAGAGGGAGAAGACGGAGCAGGAAGTCGTGACATAACGTGGAAATCTTTAATTAAAACATTCAGTTCAAATTCAATCAAATTAATGAGTTTGGTTTCGTCTGTCAAATATTTTCCATCATCTCCGACATTGTGAGCCGAAAGTGATCAATAAAATGAATGAGTGATTATTTAATAACGTCAATAACATTGTGCAGATAAATGACGGTGTTACGTCACTTCAATGGACTTTAATTTCCCCGAACTGAAGACGGGTTTGAACTCCTGATTTCTCTCCACAGTCTCAATCGGACTCATTATTTTTAATGATTGACTCATTGATGGTTGAATGGAGGAGAAGATGAGGGTGAAGCTGTTTCTCATTAATAAAGAAACATCACTAAAATCAGCGGTTTGAATCCGTTCAGTCACTTTCTGAAGATCAGATCTTCGACTACCTTAAAGGGACAGTTCACCCTTAAATCATCCCTCCTTCCTCTTTATATCATAAAACCTCTAAAAACAGTTCCTCAACTTAAACCTCCGGACCCTCTCTGCCTTCATCGTTTGGGGTTTAATTCCTTTAACACGAAGCTCAGTGAAGACGGAAACTGTTTCTCCTGACTTTGTTCAGCAAGAATGTGAGGTTTCTCTCTGCGCCGCCGCCGGAGTAACGGACGCCACACGACAATAACCCAGACTCACTTTAATAAAACACTTAGATTGTTCTGATGGGAGGACCCTGGCGGACTTAAGGAATATAAATAATGGAGGATGTTTATGATGCTTCAGAGGTTGGGAGTCTCTCCTGTTCACAGTAAATATGAATGAATGTAAAAGGAACCGAGGAGTTGAACTGTGACAGGAGTTTGAACGTTTATATCTGTGGAGAAGATCTAAGCAGCTTGGAGCTTTAAGAGGTTTTATTCATCCAAAGAACTTCAGTAAAATCCAGACCAGGCCTCTAATGGAGACCCCCAGGCTAGTAAAGGAGAACCTGTGTCTATTTGGGGCTTTTATTAGAAGTTTTACGGTAGTTTTGGTGCAAGACGTCTTCAGTATAAAGTTATAACAACTACTATGTGATGTGCAGACGTTCGTATTAACAACTGAAAAGAGCTGGAAATACACCGTTTGTGTTGTTTGTTTGTTTGTTTGGCCCGTCGTAAATCCCACAATAATAGAGACGTAGTGTAAAACTGAATCTCTCTCGTGAGTTTGAGGTCAGTAATAAATCTAAGCTCATGTTTTTTATGTTTCCAGTTGATCAGTTTATTTGCACAATAATACAAAGTGAAATACAAACATAAAGAGGAAGTAATCACAGTCGGAGAGGAACGATTATTATTATTATTATTATTATACTCGTGGTTCTTTATGTTCTCTGAGGCACTTTGTGAACAAATAAAAGCACTTTATAAGTAAACTCTTTTAATTGTGTCCCCAAACATTTTATTCCGATCAATCAGAACCAAGAACGTTATTATTTTAATGAATTATACAAAAAATAATCACAACTATTTTACCAATTTTCACTTTCTGTGGAAGCTGATTTCCACTAATGAAGCGGGGGAAAAAAAAGATTGTGTCAATTTTTATAATAAGAAACTCTCAAAATACTCTAAAGTCATTAATTTGAAGTTTCTCATTACTGACAGAATCTTTTTTCTTCCGTCACTTTTCAGCGCAAATAAACAAACAAAAAGCCATCGTCAATGAAACTTCACTTCTTGGTGAAAAACTTCCTGAAGACGCTCCGACGCGACCTTTCTTTGCTCGCGCTGTCGTCTGTGGGGGTCCCAGCGGGGGGGTCCTGGGTGTCTGGAGGAGGAGGAGAAGGCACTGAAGGGGGCTGGTTTTGAGTACCTGCGGTGTAATAGATTACAATCAGATAAAATATCCACACAGTCACGTCGCTCGCTGGTTACCGTTAGCATGGCGGCGTCAGCTTCTCACCTGCGGCCCCGACCTCCCCGTCCTCCGGGTAGCGGTGTTTGTTGTAGTACGTGTGGGGGGGTTTGGGAGGAGGTTGCCCCTCTGTGGACGATTGTCTCTCCAGGCTCTCAGTTCTCCCCTCAGGCGGTTTGCTCGAATCATCCGGAGCTTCGGCCAACTTCTCCAAACTCAGGTTGACGGATGACGCTCGCCTGGAACGACAGAATCACGTTTCAGTGTAGAAAGCGCTGACATATTGGGTCTCTCGCTAACAAGAAACTAATATAAAACATCTTCAGTTAGAAATCAGTTTAATCTCTGCACAGAGACGGGTCCAATACATGGAAATATCAATAAAATTACAAAAATATCCTGTGAATTTACATGTTTAATGTAAAATAACGTGAAAAATCTGTAACTAAATAATCATAAAATTACTGTTTATTTAAAGAAAATCGATATTTTTTTTACAGATATTTACTGTTTATTTAATAGATTAAAATGTTAAATTTAAATTTAATATTGTTAATATATTTCTACAATTATGTAAAATTAGTGAAAAAAAGTATTAGTTAGTTTGTTATTTGACAGAGTAGTTTTTGTATAATGATGGAAGTTGAATAATGTTGTTTCAGTGTATAAGCATTGGTAAAGCCCAAAATAACCCAAAATGACACAAGATTTGATGTTTTAGTGCAGCACACAGCAGACGCAGGGGGACACAACCCTCCATCCTGAAGTCAGGTCTATTTCTACATCCAATAATACGCTCCTGCAGGAATCCTTTATTAATGTATTTATGGCGGCATTAGTCATGTCGCGTCTGCAGTTCTGCACATTTCTGCAAACCCAACCGGACATAATGCACGCCGGCGTGAACAGAGTCTGTGTCGCTGTGTGTTTCTCCACCACTGTGTGCCCGCTGAATGTAATCCACCTTGTCAAAGTATCTCATTAAAGGAAAATCCTGCTGGCAGGGAGTTTCATTTCTTTGGCCCTTTGCCCACCTGAGAGGAGCCCGGTGTCCCCGCGGTGCACAGTGTGAACAGGTAGATGTGAAAGTCAGAGTCAAATTACCCGACGCTGTTTGAAGGAAAAACCACTTCAGTCTGAAACTCCATCAAAACACTATTGACTGACAGACATCCTGTTTGAACCAACGCCATCGTTCCACTTATGAGTAGTAAAATTCTTCATGTGGCCGCTGATCACAATGAAAATCTGATACTTTTTCAGTTGTATTGAAGACTGTCGAGTACATAAAGACGTTCTCACTCGACTTGAAACGCTTCAATACTTAATATTGACTTTCTCACTATTGAAAATGTCTCAATACGCAATCTGCTGCTTTAAATCACCCCGAACCTCGTAAGCTAATGTTAATGTTTCTCTGATTACTTAAGATCC